TGAGAACGATCTCGTACTTGGCCAAGCATGAGCTGAGTATCGGCTTGAGTATCGTTTGTAAATACGGGCCTAAATTGTACAGGTTGCCTGGTAACCATATTGAATGGAATATTATTGAAACTTTTCTGTTTTAACGTTGAATCAGTTAATGATCAGTTAACAGTGGGTTTGTTATCATCTTTAACGCCCAGAGCGTTTGCATTGCGTAAGCTTGCAATTAGTTGACGTTTATAATTGAATTGCTTAATAAGTATTTGGGAATAAATTGCTGTTCAAACAATATTTGAACATTTGTACAGAGTAGTTGGGCTTGTGACCTTCTCAATGTGAAATTCCGGAAACGGGGTGCCATTTTTGGCACGTCTCGGGCCATTATAGAATTTAGAATCAAGGACGGGGTTGCGTTGAGATCAAGAAAGGGGACATTTCACATCCTGAGGAAACAATGTATTTCGCTCGGCATATGGCCAACTTTCTACACCAGAGACAAGTACTTGTCTCTGTTCTACACTTCATTCTTTCAACTACCATTACGAATTTCTATAATTTTTCTTCTTCTTCTTCTTCTTTATCTTTGGCACAAAACTTCTATAATTTTTAATCACGGATTATTTCATAATTGACATCTTGACATCCATCTATGACGGAAAATAGGTTATGTTACGTGAAATGTTTTATTCAATTTTTTGAAATAATCAAGAAAATGGATATCCAATGTGATACTGAGGAAAATAATGAAGACATTTATTTATTAGCCGAACAGAAGATTCAGTTTGGCGAAAGCCTGAAGGTGTACATCGATGAGCACCCCAATGTTGATGGACTTCAGAAATTAAGCAGAAAAATTAACCAAGAATTGAAATTCTTGAAAAAAGTAAGTTTATATTGAAATAAGCGTTCAAACACTAAATACTACATATACTAAATTTGCTTCAATCCTTCTAAATTCGTATTACCATAATTATCTCAATTATATTTGCCTCAAAAGTTCCGATTGCCATCATTTATGATAACATAAGGCAAAGATCTTAGGATAAAAAACAGGGCTAGACGTCTAAACTAATCTTCCATTTCATAGCCAATTTCGGTCTGATTAAGTACATAAGTAATAGCCAAGTAAGCAATACAATATTTGTTTCATTATTAAATCGTTAGCAATTTTTACTATTTGCAGTTACATTAGTATTCATGTTTGCATCTTTAGCTATCGGTCTTATTTGCTTTGTTAAACGGATTATCATAATGTTTTTTTAATTGAAAGTCCTTTGCCAAGTCATCGACCCTCAATAGAGGTAGAATCGCTACGTTTCTGTTTTTTGCACAAAGTATCTGAATGGTGATTCAGCATTTCTAGAGATTGTTCAGAGCAACAATAGAAGGCATTTGAGTATAAGAACGTTATGTGCAAGTATTAATTTGTAATAAAATCAAATCAAACAATCTTGGCTATAAGTTTGCTACATTTACTCCTTTAAAACATATGATAAGACCTTGGTGCAGAAAAAAACAATTAGAACGTTTCATTTTGAGGAAGAGGTTCTTAACCGAGTTGCAAATGAACTTTCGATTATCACTCGTAAAATTACGCCAACCCTGGACGCGCCTCAAGATTCCGTCTCGCGTGTGCTACATGATACGTGAGCCATTTTATCCATACCATTTATAAACAGTTCAATTGTCCCAGTGGCTACTTCGTGAGATTGTTGAGCCACCTGATTTTTTGATTTATTGACGGATCTAGCAAGTTTGACGCTAGATGGTATATTCAAAATAGGAATAGCAGTGTTTGGGCCGAAGAAAATCGACACACTTGTTCATCAGTCAAGTCATCAGCATTGTTTATGTGTTAACTGCTCGGCTGGTAGTGTTGAGCCATATCTACCGCCTAATCGTTTAATAGGGCGTTTTCAAGAAGACTTTCTGCCAGAACTTCTTGTATGCAACATAATGGTGCACACAATTCCCTGTTCAAGTCCGTCACTATTTGCACAGTCAATTTGCACAACTTTGCATCTGTAGAGGTGTTTCAGTTCCGTGCCCCCCAATGTATTCGATCTAACACCTTTACATTGCTATTTGTTAGGACCCGAAAAGTGTTTGGGTTTACGAAACTCCTGTGGAAGCAGATACTGCGGTATTTGAAATGGTTCAAAGCAACTGTGAAAATTTCAGTTGAATCTCCCTTTGGATGCTTGTCTTTCCTGTAAGTATATCAGTTCTCTCTTGTTCGTTGCCAACGAGACAGAGACCGTCGGGAAAATTGATCCGGGTTTTGCCTCTAAGAGATTTGGAGATTTTCTGCACCAAAATTTCACGGAGCGCGAAGTTTTGAAGATCTAAGGGTTAAAATGCTTTAATTTTATAAATTCGGCGCAGAAACCATTTGTATACATAATATTCCTAAGGGGCCATAGCGCCTTAGCATTCACGCACATTTCCAGACATGGGTTCTTACACGGCAATGTCCTCTATTGTCGCACTGAACAATCGCTATGAGTTTGATGCCATAGTTCTGAATCACCCTGCATTTGAGGTAAAAATCCTGGTACATATTTATTTAAATATTCATTTAGCTTTGTTGCATTTCAAAATAAGTACATATTATAAAAGTAAAAGATAGAACTTTTTTCATGTCCTAAAGTTTCCGTGTTAGAACGTTCCTTTTTAAGTCACAGGATGTATACAAAATTAAATAATCATGACTTTTGGGCCATAACTATCGAACGCTACAAGCCAATGAAATAAATCTTAGATGGATCTTATCGTAGTCATTTTTTCTGATTGATGAACTGATAAAACGAAAACAATTTTAAGTCAAATATATTTTCAGTGCGGGTTCACATGTATTCTCTTCTTAGGCGAGAAATACAAGACATATTTTTCCATACATTGCCGACACCTCATTTGACTTTCCGACCACTAAAAACTATATTTTTAGGTCTACAAAAATGCCAACTTAAAAAAGGAGCATTTACAGTGTTCCAACTTGACACATTTTTCTGCATTAGTCGATACTCTGAAAACAGTAGATAATTGTCAAAGCGTTAATAAAATATTCAACTTAGAAGATAGGAAAATTACTGTAGATATTATCTGTGATAATGGATTGACATGGATTAAAGTAATAGCTCGAAATCCCAAATCACTAAGTCAAATTTATATGGGAAATGCGAGTTATGGTGTTCGCAGTATTGTAGATCAGGGCGAAGAATATGTTGAATGCGCTAAATTACATCCATGCTTGTTTCAAACACCCAAGGTACGACGTATTTTGCTTCTATGTAAAGATAATTGTAATACATTGTAATTTTACCAGATAATTTTCGTATTCACCAACGGGATTGGAAGTAATTTAGCATCAAAGTTAGAGAGAAGAGGAATAATTGTAAGAGGTAACAAGATTGAAGCTCATGATATTGAAGGCGACTCGGATTCGAGTGAACAGGAAAACTTAGACTTTGAGAGTTCTAATATCGTTTATAATCAGCCACAAGATCTATCGACCCAAAATATTGCAAATATTAAAAAGGTAAACTTGGATGTTTCTGCTATGTTGGCCTACTGTTGTTCAGTTACCAATGGAAGCGCGTATTTGTATGATTTTGATGTACCTGTTCTCAAACAACAAGCGGAATGGGAAAGGCTGAGGCCAGTCAAGCCAATTTTGGATGAATTTTTGAAAGGTACAATGTACGAGTGTAATTAAAATTTACTATAGTCCGGGACTATTTCAGACAAAAGACTATACTGCTGCCAGACTGCGAAAGAAAGCTTTGAGAATATCGTTAATACTGTTGGAGGACCCACCGAAAAAATAAGAGCGGATAAATTCATGAAAAATGTAACAGTTTTGCCAGACGACGCGTCGTTTAGAGATACTGAGGAAGGCAGTGAGAGTAATGAAATATTCAATCAAGTCCAACTAATTTCTGGAAAAAATTTGCCAATTGGAGGAAAAATTAGGCAAAGATCATTGACCATTTTTATGTTTGGCGATAGAATACAAGCAATCACAGTCACTAGTAATGACGGTTTTGTTAGAGCCGCTAAGCAGCAAGTAAGTTCAAATGAGTACAGCTATTTCGGCGCTTCAAATCGATAACGTTTCAAATGCCGTTTCCAGAATATCAACTTTGTGGTTTTTGTCCACGAATCCAGAGCTTTGACTGAACAAAAAGAGTTGATGAAAGCCAAACCACTTAGTGCACCTGACGAAATTCATCCAGTTTAAAATTTGACAAAAACATTTTTACAATTTATTATTTATTTTTGAATAAATGGTTTCACCAACGTGCCAATATTGCTTTGAATTAAAAATCATCATCGCCTGTGTTGTAATTTGTCAAAAGTTCAGCAAATAATAAACGAAACGAATTTTATATAAGTTTCAAGTAGCCTCACTACATTTTACTTCAGCATGCGACATTTCTTTTCAATTCTCTAGCTCTTTTCGTATCTACTTAGGTATTTTCTTTTCAACAAGACCTTCTTTAAACAATCTCAATGATCGCTCGTTTTTGCCAGAAAAGCCATATTGAGATCAATTCCCCTTGCATTAAAAAAGCGTTCTACACAGCATTCATACCTGTTCACCTCTGTATATGCCCGAACGATCAATTAACATGAATTAAAGAGCATGAAATTAAAAGAATAAAACATCATTTAAAAATTACGAGCATTTCGTTTTCGGTTTCTTCCTATCAACATTTTAACAAGGCAATGATTGAATCCATATCACAATTTTTTCGAGTTCTTTGTATAAAAGATCCGAATGTCATACATACATTAGTTGATGTTTTAGTAAGCCAGTGCCTTGTTACTCAAATCCACGAAATCGCAATTACTACTTGGGGGAAGCACAAAAACGATTATTAACTCAACAGAAATCTATTTAATTTCCATCGAGGTTCATTCGAGCGTATTTTCGTATATAATATGCTGATTATCAAGACATTTTCGAGTCCAACTCGGATACAATGTAGCAAAAGTTAAATAGCCCGTATGACCTGGTTGTTGTGCTGGTGGAATGGCGGTCAATGTTTTATGTACCTCTTTCTCCTTTTTTTCAGTAGCATCCGATTTTGCAGTCTTCAAAAAGTCTAAGTCTAATACAGGAATTTGCCTAGTCTGTACATTGTACTGCGTCTGCAGAACTTCCATGGTTTCGATTTCCTGAAAACCCAATTTGGATAACTCGCTGCAAGTTTTCTGCACTTGCTCAATGCATGGCGAGAATGAGCAAATCCTTCCTATAACGAAAACGTTATTAGCATGCTAAAATAATGAGTTAGTAATGTATCAGAATTACCGCCTGTTTGTTTCAAAGAATGTGTAGCGTGAGGTACAGCTAGCCATGGATGGGGCAGGTCCAGAAAAACCGCGTCAGCTTTCCCGATTAGATTGTCCCCAAATCCAGTAGCGCAAACATCTCGATGATCAACAGTTACATATTGCCCTGAAATAACATTTACCAACATTTAACAAACTCTGATTAAAGAACAGAAAATTACTTTAATATAATTTATACAGGGTGACCGGTTACAAAAATTCAAAATCTGAATATTTTCCGAGTTACAGTTCATCACACTTCATTTTTGACTTATTGCATATTTCTTCGCGGATCAAATTGAAAATCGGTACAGAGTTTCAGCTTAACTTTCTACTTTAAAATAACTTTCTGATAAAAAAAAATGTTTCTCCACTTTATCACTATGTAGATGACACTTTACCTGAAATCCAAATCTAATTTTTAGCATATCTTTTTTGGCACGTCAAATATCGCAAAAAGTAATGTGCGATTTTAAAGATTAGAAAAAAATCTCTAATTTTTGTCCAATCCATAGTTGATTTTCGCGAACGTTTTGAAAAATTTACCTGATGATTCAGGAAGCGTCTACTATGCTTACGTAATCTTTCAAATAAACATTTGCTGTGCAACAAATGCATGCCGGATGCACCTGGACCTTTAGAAAATTGTCTTAACTCGTGAGTTTTGGAAACTACGCGAATGGCGTGCAAATGCCTCATTGATCAACAGTTTCACAAAGTTGGAGAGAATGATCAAATAAAAACTACCTGTTTTTTGTGTTAACGGAAGAAATTAAGAATATAAAGTCCTAAACTACTTTACAGTAAGTTAAGCAAAGAGGAGAAAACAAATGTATTTTTTTCATGTCCAATAATCAACTTACTGATAGTTGAAAGAACAACAGTCTTGACCGACTGAAGAAGGGAGATTTGTTGTTAGAGTATCGGTCTTGAGGAGGACTTAAATGAGAGTCTAAACTTTGACACTACCAAGCTTTCAGAATTAATTTTTATTTTTTAATCAGGGTGTGAACTCGTTTATATTTAAAGGAAACATCCAGTTCTCACGCAACATAAGACAAGAAATCCAATTGCACATCTCCATCGTCAGTCAAAGTGCAATTGATAGGAGAATCGAAAGTCCCATAGGATATATTGCGCGAGAACTCGATTTTCTTTAAATTTAAAGAGGCTCGCAGTCCTTAAGTAATATTATTTTAAAAACAACTAAAATTTAATCTCTGTATCAATATCAGTGTTAATGCTTTGAGTAGTTTTTTTACATATCGGTACTGTATAGAACAATCATAGCTTTTCCTATCATGAATCACCTTTAAGGTCTAGATTCAACTGTACGTTATTGTTTTTTCCTTTAGCCCTGATGAAGGAATCAAAATAAATTCCGAAAGATTGGTAGGATCAAAGTTTAGACCCTCTTTTGAGCTCTCCTCAAGACCAATGCCCTAAGAATTACAACTCTGACTCAAAGTTGATGTTATAAAGTGAAATCATGGTTCCTGAGGTAAGACTGCCCTACTTATCTACAGCTGTCTTGGTTTAATTGTATATATGCTATTAACCTTATGGGAAAGATCTACTTTTAAAAGCTATAGTTTGTACATTTTTCAATAAGGTCATGTACAGTTCTACCAGTATGTACCTACATAAGTTATTTTTTTAAATACCTACGTATTAAAAAACCTAAACTGCCGTATACCTACCTAATCCATGGTCATCAAATTCTTCCCTGGCAGTTTTACTTCGGACTTCATGAAAGTCGAAAGTATACAAATGTCCATGAGGTTTCACCGCCCTGATAAACGCATGCGACAATGAACCACTGCCCGTTCCACTTTCAATCAAAACGCTGCCAGGGCGTAGCTCCAACTGCATTATTATCATACTGATGTCTGGTGTATAAATTATTTGTGTTCGATGTGGAAGAGTAATGGTCCACAACTCTGGAGTCGGTTGCAAAATATATCCCCATCCCTTACTTAAAGATATTTTCGATCCGAACGTCTTTCCTATTAATTCGCCGCATTTAAGAGCCCCGTATGGGGTTTGGAACACATTTTCCACTTCTAGATTTTTTTTATTAATGGCTTTACTTTGTGCTTTAATGCTATATATTTGTGATATAGTCAGGTATAAAACCACAGTGTCCCCATCGCGTACTGTTTCTTTGTAGCCGTTAAAACTCATTTTAATAACTAAATACTTTTATATTAAAATTCTAGGTTATAATAAATATTTTCTTCCTCTTCTCAAAATTACTCTGGTCTCTTTGATTCTTGATTGGAGCTAGGAATGGTCCCAAATATAACTTGCGCCTTTGGAGCGGCTTTACACAATTTATTTATGTGTGGTAATCAATCGATTATTCACACCGTTGTGTAGGTGAAAGGGTCTGAGATTAGCTGAGGTCTTCAACTACCTATTTGAATATATATAAAAATTAATAATATTTTTAAATCTGTCCGAAACTAAAAATACTAAATACTAAAAATAATGTTTTAAAAGTTTAGATAATGCTAATTTTCAAATGCTAATTTTCAGATTGCCGTCGTTGGGTCTCGTTTCCTTTAGATACTTGCACATCGGCCGGTGGCCATCTTTTTTTTAGGTGTTAAAATAAAGAAATGTTCCGCTCAAATTTGTGGATTTGGAAAGTGTTCCGTTAACAAACGAAAACCCTGCTCTAGAGAGAAGAATAACAACTGCCGCACAAAAAAATTGCAAAGCCTAAAACAGCTTTTTGTAATTAGAAATTTTCTACATAACTCTGATAATACCGGGCCGATTTGGAATTTTTTTTTGAAAAACGTACGATTTTCTATAAAAACTGCATCTCGGATAATTGCTATCGGTTGGAAAACTTGGAAGTTATGGAGATTTGWAGGCCGAAAAGACGATTTCTCGAAGAAGAGCGAAATGCAATTTTTCATTGACATGGTTTTCGTATATCTATAGTTTCGGAGAAAATGCAATTTAGATTTAGAGATTTAGTTAAACCCCCCACATTGTTTGCACATTTATTTGGCCATAACTCCGCAACTGTTGGTACTGAACCCTGAATGTTGGTAACCGTTTTACTGCTCCATTTGCGCGTACCTCCACTCTTGTGCTCGCAACTTCGTTAAATGTGAAGATATTTAAAAAGTTGCGAAAAAAACCCCCAAAAAGCCCTTAGAATTGGCTATAGAAAGTATTCCAGCCTCAAAATGGATAGTGGCAACAGCAAGGGAGTAAAACGAGTTAGATCTCAGAGAATGTGCAACCTTAAAAAAAGATTTGAGAAATTATTATTAGGTAAAAAAGTTGACATTTATGAAGACTTTAATGCCGATTTTCCTGTCAATTTCATTTTATGTTTTTTTTTTAATTTACGATGGTTGGGTAACCTGGTCCAAAAAGTGTTTATTGACTAATAATCTTCTTACCTGCTTCCTGCATTGGCGCCCCATCCTCCATTGTCATTCCATTAGTCTTCAAAAAGAACACCCTACACTTGGACACACAATGAAAATCCACAAGCAGTTGAAAATAAATGTGGATAACACTCAGCAGTTAACAGGCAAGATGATCGACAGCATTTGCCTAAATGGCACCAAATCGACCAATTTCGTCCGTTGCCCACAATGAACTGAACTAAATGTTCAGATTTTAGCAAAAACTCATACGATATTAAGGTTGTAGATAAGTTCTATATTGTTGAGGCGGATTCATTTTTTACAAACTTCTTTTTGGGTATTTCGCATCAAACATTTTTGCCTTTAAAAAAGACAGAATTTCCTAACGTCTTTTATTACAGATTGATAAATAGTGCTCCTATTTCGCAATAAGAACGAAT